GCAGGAGCACCACCAGCAGGAGCACCACCAGCAGGAGCACCACCAGCGGGAGCACCACCAGCGGGAGCACCACCAGCAGGAGCACCATCAAATGGTAGCGGATCTTCATCAAGCGGTAGCGCATCTTCATCAAGTGGTAGCGCATCTGCATCAAAGGGTGGCAAATAAATTTCACTCCTTTGAAATTAAACATCAAAAATCTGCTATTTCCAATATTCCCCATAATTATTTCAAAAATAAGGACAAATTATTTTTTTTATTCATTATATTTTATTATATCTGAGCTAAAACTAACTGAATATTCAATAAAGAAAACAAAACTGACAATAAATAATTCTTATTGAATGTATTTTTCAATATAATAGAAGGAATCTCAATATGGATATTTTAATTACTCTCATACGTAATATAATCGAATACAGTATTATATGTTATTAATTTTGATGAAAAAAAGAATTTCAGATTCTAGAAACATGGATATCTCAATAATGTTACGATATTCATCAAACATATAGAAAAATCACTGAAATAACAATAATCATCGATTGAACCACTCATGTAAAAAAGTTTATTATAAAATAAAAAACAAAATCGTCTGATTTAGTCATAATAATTATTTTATTTATAAATTCTCAAAAAAATATCAATATAATTTTATAAAAATTTTCATCCAGTTGTAAGACGTTGTAATTCTGCTAGTTGTTTATCAACATCATTCGTTGATGAAACTTGAATTTTTTCTGTATGAGCATCAGGTAAATTAATTTGAATCATATTTTCTTTAAGAATTTCATTATCTAAAATATTTAATTCATTTTCAAGATCAAAATCTATTGCATTTAAATCATTCGTTAATATTGGTGCTGCTAATAAATCATTAATCTCATTCGATATTTCCATTTGTTCTGTTATATTATCAATAATATCTTCAATTTTTTTTGTTGGCATTAATTTTTGTGTACGTTTTAAATGTTGTTGACCAATATTTAAACTATCAGTTACTTGTCGATTAAAATGTGATGTTTGAACTTGTTCATTAACTAATTCAATATTTTGTTTCATTTGCCATAATTTATCACGTTGTAATTCAAGTTGTTTACGTCGTTTTATTAAACGTATCGCACCTGGACGATCAGGATGTGATTTTGTCAAACATTGTCGTGCTTTATTTTGTAAATCAAGTATTTCTTCATCATATTTTTCTAATTTTTTATTCATCATATCTTCACTTTGTTGTAAATGATCGATTGTTCGAAGTGCATCTTGATTTTGTTCATTTGTATGACGTGTTCGAGATAATGAACGAGTATCTTTAGATTTTGAATCACCAAATAAACGTCGAAACATAATTAAAAGAACAAAACAAGCATTTTTTCATAATTTAAAATAACAAAAAAAGCGCGTTTATTTTTTTTTTCTTGATTCGATATTATTGGTTTGTATTTAAACAAAAGAATCATAACGAATGTTATACCTGTATAAAGACAGATAGAAATAACATGTGGTAGACACAAATTAAATGAAGGCTTTATCGAATACAGTTCGGTAAGTAAATAGAGAAGAAATCAAATCATATCGAATGTTTGCGAATTATTATAGATAGAATCTGTGAATATTTTCGTAAGAGTTTGTTGTTGATATTTTATTCTAATTTAGATATTTATCGATTCAATCTCATTAGACAAGTCTGAATAGTTTTGATGTATCAGTCAATCAAGATTGACTATCAATCCAAAGAAGGTTGATGAATACGACGATATAGTCATATATATGTATTCTTCGTTTTGTCCTTGATATTTTTTTTTTCTTTTATACATGTGTTTTAACGTGACAGTGTAGAAGAAGAGAGTGTACAGATCAGAAAGTACAATTTTATATTTTTTTAAAATAAAGTATCGACGTACTTATTTACTTGTACTGATATATTATAATAGACATTACAAAGATTTCTGTTTTTTGTTTTCAAGTAAATATGTGAAAGTTAAAATCCTATTCGGTTCATCGATACAAATTTTTTCATTGAAAACGGACGTTTTTCATTCTTAAATGAAGTGAGTATCATATTACTACAGTTCTACTGAATGTACAAAGGCAAAGATGAGAAAGTTTTGGCTGATTAGTCTGACTACCAGATTTATATGAAAAGTCATTAGGAATCAATACATTCTATTGGTATTTTTTGTAATCTATGATCTAGAAGTAGATGCTCCCTTCTGTGATGATAATTATTCCTCACATAACGATGAGTCATCAATATTTTACGATTTATCATGATAAAAAAAATTCGTTTTTAAAGATATTTGAGATATTCACTGTTTTGAATACCTAATAATTATTATTTATTTATCGTTAAGATCATGGGACTATACAAACCCTTTGGTTTTTATGTGCTGTTTTGGTCTTGTCTTATTTCTACTTGGATCTACAATTGTACTTTCACTAATTCCAACTTATTTACCAACTCGACCGTTCTATGAAGCTTTATTACCCACTAGTAAACCACAAAATGTTTTACTTCAATTATCTTCAAATACTAACCTGTTATCCGGAACAACACTTGATATTTCAAATCAAAATATTGTTCAAAATCAGGTTAGGATTCATTTACAATTTAGTTATAAAAGATTGTATTCTTGAATATAGATGCAAAAAGCTTTATCAAATGATCAAACATCTTTTGGTTCGTCAACTATTCGTATTCTCAATGCTACGGTCACAACATTTTCACGAGTATGTATGATGTTCAAAGAGAGAAAAGTGCAAAAGTAACGCTCTATTATAACAAGATAGAAGGAAGTTGAAAATCGATAGAAACTGTTGCTTAAAAAATATGTAAAATTACTTATGATTGAGAAGCTACTGTAGTTAGATTGTATTTTATAGTAGGATTATATTAACTATTATTATTATAAATTAATAGAGAAAACGACGTCAAACAAATACTGCAAATAATGGATTAAATGTAATTTATGAATTAATATTTCATAGATCATGTACAATTAGATGTCAAACTAAAATACTTAGTTTAGCTCGTACTAAATTTGTATCATTATTAATTACTCTACGTATGTATTCTATCGAAAGAATATTTATAATACTTATATAATAAATTTCTTCTAGAAAGTAGTACATCAACTGCCTCTGATGATGAAGTAACAGGCGATATTACAAAAATATCCGAATATTGGGCTAATATTCGTCCATATAAAGATAATGCACCTACAGTCTTTGGTGTGTTAGATACAGGTTTACCTGATGAATGTCAAGTCGAACAAGTTCATATATTACATCGACATGCTTCTCGTTATTTTACAACAGATGCATTCGATGGTGGAAATATTCTGCGATTTGCAACAAAAATTCTTTCTACTAATCGTAATAATTTCCTAGGTTTACTTTCATTTCTTAAAACCTGGTCATTAGACATAAGTAATGATTTACTTGTACCAAGTGGTGCTGCTGATGGATATAAATCTGGAGTCAATTTTTGGAATGAATATGGACGTATTCTATACAATGCTCAATCTGGTCAACCCTATTATAATGCAACTAATCAAATAAAACCATTAGTACGTACTAGCAACGTACAACGATGTTACGAAACTGTACTTGCCTGGACTTCAGGATTTTTTGGTCCATACAATACAACAGATAAATATTCACTTATAAAACTTTCTTATGATAGCGGATATAATAATACACTCTATGGTGCACTTGCTTGTCGTAATTTATTTATACCATCAGCATTTACATTCGATCAGGATGCTATGTATGCTTATCTTGCTCCAGTTCTCGCCAATGCAGCAAATCGTTTTTCTTCTTATACAAATTTAAATCTAAATTTTACACATATTGATGTATTTGCAATGCAATCTTTATGTGCATATGAATATGTAGCACTGGGTTCAAGTGATTTTTGTTCATTATTTACAATAAATGAATGGCGTGGTTATGAACAAGCATTAAATCTTGCTTTTTATAATACATATGGACTTGGAAATGAAACTGGTCGAGCTCAAGGTATTGGATATGTTCAAGAATTAATTGCACGATTAAATCATCAATTAATTAATATAAGTTATTCATCTGTTAATTCAACACTTGATTCATCAGAAACAACATTTCCATTAGATCAATTATTTTATTTAGATATGTCACATGATAATAATATTGCTAGTGTATTAGCAGCTTTATCAATTGATTATTTTCGTGAAAATTTATCAACAATATTTCCTCCTCCATCAAATCAACATTATCGAGTATCTCGTATGACTCCATTTACAGCTCGATTAATTATAGAAAAAATTGGATGTACTTCATCAGTACCAATGGCAATAAATTCATCACATACAGAGTATTCATCTTCATCTGTATTAAAACCATATAAATTCATACGAATGAAATTAAATAATGGAGTTTTACCATTAGATACAATTCGAGGTGGATTATGTTCAATTGGAAGAACAGATGGTTTGTGTTCATTAGATAATTTTCTTGCTAGTCAAACTAATGCTAGTGTTATAGCAAATTTTAATTATGTCTGTTTTGGAAATTATACTATTGATAGTAATACGGTTATTACTGATGGAACACTTTTCGCATAAAGATTTAATCTCATTTTTTTAAATTAATAAATATTCAAGCTTTATTTCAGCTTTTACATTTGTAATAGATGGGTGTCGGATGTATCTTATTCATTCATACTCACACCCATCCTTATTTAATAGACGCTTTTATATATAATATTTTATTTTCGTATTTTTAAAATTTTCTTATAATAAAAATAAGAATTGAAATGCAATATATAGAATTAAAGTGGAAAATAAATTTGTTTTTATTACAACAGCTTGATTAGATTCAGTTGCTGTTGTTGTAATAATACTTGATTCAGTTGTTGTTGATGTAATAATATTTGATGTAGTCATTATAGTTGATGACATAGGTGTTTCATTAATATTAGATTGAATCCAATCATAATAAAATGATAATCGTGTATATACACCAGGATGATTTGCAAGTGCACAACCTATACCATAACTTACAATTCCTACTTGTTCCCAGTGATCATCAAGCCATTGATGTATCGGACCACCACTATCACCTTTCAAGTAGATATAAGAAGAAATTACATTTAATTGAAAGAAAATATCTCGTATCATCTTACCTTGACAACTATCTTTTCCACCACCATCAACCGCAGCACAAAATTGTCGAGTATCGTCATATGTTGCATTAATACATCGCCAATCATCATGTGCTAATGTTTTAACACGAACTTGACGTAATTTTGTTGGTCGAGGACCTCCTGAAGATAATGTACCCCATCCAATTACTGCTAATCGTGTGCCTTCCTTTGGATAGTCTAGATTATCATTTTGTGGTGGTAAACAAGTAAGACCAGCATGAGTATCAGATGTTGTAAGATTAATTGGTGGTGAAACTTTCATCAAAGCAATATCATTGATGAATTTAGGTGAAGGTATATAATATGGATGTGAAATTGCTTTAACAACATTACGAATTTGAGGAGATGATGATTGTTCATCATGAACACCAATATGAACAATATGTGAGAGACTTGGTGAACAATGAGCAGCTGTTAATATCCATTCACTATTAATAATAGATCCACCACAACCATGACCAAAACTAGGATGTCGAAGTGATACTACCCAAGGCCAACTATGAGGTTGAGCTGTTTCACCACCAACAATTCGACCTTGATTATGTTCTGGAACGGGAGGAAATGGTGGTTCATCATGAAAGACAACTGGTGTTGATGAACATCCACATGAACGACTCGTATCACATACAAATGGAATTGGAGGACCTCAAATAATAATATTATTATTTTCTATGAATAATTTTTCAATAATATATATTATACCAAGTATTTCTGGTGGTAGAGTTGTTGGTACTGGTGGTGGTTGTGATGGAATTGTTTGTATTGGCATTGGAGTAGATGGTGGATTTGCTAATATATCTGAGATCCAATCAATAAAAGGAGCAACACGAGTATATACACCTTCTGTAGTACATTCACTACGATGACTTGTAATACCAACAAGTTCATATTGTTGTTTATCATCTGAATAGATCATCAATGGACCACCCATATCACCTGTATGAATTAAAATATTTTCATATGAACAAGAAAAAAGAAGCAAATATTCTCCTACCTTCACAAGCTCCTATAGACAAAAGAAAAAATTAAACTGAATTTTTTATTCAACTAAAAAAAAGAAGTTATTTACCGGTCGCGCAAAGTTGTGTAGTTGGATCTTTCATTTTATTCTTTGTACATTCAACATTCTCTTGTATAGTTACCTGTTGTAAAGTCGAAGATAATACAGTAGGATTTGATAGATTTCGATCACCCCAACCAATTGTCGTTAAATTCATATTTTCTACTGATATTAAATTTGATAATGAAATAGGTGCTACACTTAATGTATCGAATTGAAATGGTGGTAAAACTCGTACTAATGCAATATCATTAAGAAGACCATTATACATATAATTTGGATGGGGAATATAATGAGAAATAAAACTAATTTGTTCTGTTGATTCATTTCCATTTGTAAGCATATGTATGCCTGCTTTAATTGTAAAATAATTTGTAAGATACATTGCGCTTCCTTCGAAACAACTAGCAGCTGTTAATAAAAATATGTCAGAAATAATCACACCACCACAAGTACTTGTGAAAGTATTGAGAAAATTGAAACGTACTGAAACCATCCAAGGAAATGCATGAGGTGTTGCTTCAGAACCATCGAAGATCTTTTCATCTGTTTGTTCACAAACATAATTATGGATAAATATGAATAATATAAATATTAGAAAGACTTTCATACTAATATTTTTTTGTTGATCTATTATATAAAATAAAACAATATAAAATACACTTTACCCTGTCATCATATTTAAGGACAATGAATAACAAGAAAGATAAAAAGAGTTATAGATGTTAAATGATAAGAAATTATCTTTTTCATATATTTTTGTAAAGAGAAAGAAAATATGAGGCATTAAAGTATATTACTCATTTATATATAAAACTATCTATTGTGACATATCTTTACAGATGATACAAAGAAAAACTGCTGCATTGAGAATTGAAATACGCATGACAATGTATGTTTTTTTATCTCCTAGATAAATAATAACCGTAAATATGAATGTGCAATGCTAATACTCGTATATATATATATGAATTATTTCCTGTGTTATCATTCTAATTAATTTTCGCTTAAACATCGTTTTGGTCCTTTCTGATCAAATTCTCTTTTATATACGATTCGAATATTTTGATTTAACAAAATAAACATATGTCTTTGATTATTTGGAAGATTACTGTGTACGTTGTTTTGAAAAGAAAAGAAGAAAAGAAATTCTCTTTCAAATGCAAGTTTTTGTTTCTTTATTGAGACGAGAGAAACAAATACAATAAATAATTCTTTCTTTTTGTGGTGAAAAAGAAAAATATCATACTGTATTGACTGAAGCATAATCACGTCTAAATAATTCGGTAATATATAATTATATATCTTAGTCAAATGAATATGAATTCGATTATTGATGAATCTGATGATGAACCATTATTATACATTGGTTCAATGAGAAACGATCATAAATTCTGTTCACAATATTACATTGAAATAATTAGTTGCGTCATAATATGTATGTTCATTACTATGATAATTACCGGTGGAATATTCTTTGAAAAACAGTTATTACTATCTCCAACATTCAATAAAGGATGTGACAAACAATCTGAAACAGGTATATATATTTGTTATTCAAAACATAACTAACAAGAAAAGATATCTATATTTTAGGTAATTCATGTTCAATATACAATTTAGAAACAATTGTATTATGTAATTTGGAGAAACCAGTATATAATAAATATCATAATTTTTCATTCTTATATACCGCTTTATCAAAAAGAAGTATTATTACATTCGCATTCGCTAGAGGTTGGAGGTGGTACCTAGATGATATATCTATATACGATGTATTAGATAAAACTGAATTGATAATAAATAGTGGTTTTGAAAGTGGTAAATTAGATGAGTATTGTGTATGTGATTCGACAAGGGATCCAACTGAAGTTCGAAGATCAATAGTAAAATCAGGTTCCTATGCATGTTATATTGATAATTTTTTTAAACCTGTTAAATTATCACAAGCAGTAAATACGATCAGTGGACGTAATTATACTATTAGTTTTTCGCTTCAAAGTGAATTATATCCTAATAATAATCAAGTGACTGTATATATGAGTAAAGCATTTAATTTTAATGAACATTTTTTATTGTTATTACTAAAAAGATTTATTATAATTTTTCTTATTTTCTATATTATTTAAATAAATAATTGAAATTTATTTTATATAGTTGTAGTGAAGTTATTTATTGAACGAATATGTTTTTTACAACGGTTCTTACTAGTTACGCAAATTGAAAAAAAATAAACTGGAATTGGTATTGATAGAAAAATAATTTGAGTAATTATTACAAGATATTCGATAATTTTTTTACAATTTTTTGCTTTGATTTGAGTTATAGTTGGAAAAAAAAATGATGTATCATCCGTTTCTTGATCAGGTACCTACAAAACAAATTTAGAAGATAAAATTTTCAAATCGAAAAATGAATTAAATCTTACGAGTATTATCCATCTTGTCATAAGTAATATAACAGGCACAAGTGCTATAGAAGTATAAATAAGATTATTAAGACAAACAAATCTCTGATAACAACAAGTAGTACGTAAAATAACCTAAATAAAAGATATATAATTCTATAGAAAAATTGCAATTTTTATAGAAGAATACATACGATTATCGTAATAAATCCACACATGATTATGTATACTATTCCACATATACTGAGCCATAAAGACATATTACGTGATGCCGGACAAGACATGCTTTTGGTATAGGCTATAATAATTACGCCAAGTCCGATTTCACTTATTATCAGAAGAATTATTATTATCATAAAAAGTCGGTAAAATGATCTAATATGTGTTGCAACAGTGTCGACAACCGTTGTTCTGTATGGCGCATTATTTCCTTGATTTTGTAGTTCTAAAACTTGATTACCAATCTGTGATGATTCTAAAAGTGTTGAATAAGGCATTGCCATATCTTCTTCTAATGTATGGATGAAAAGATTATTAAACCTTGGGTCAAGAACTGTACATAAATTTAACAATGATTTTATGATATTTAAAAGTATTTAAGCATGCATTGTTTTTTTTGGTTTTGCGTAAGAAAATAAAACAATGATTATTTGAAAGATTGAAGAGTACCGTGTTTGCTGTTTTAAAAAAAGAAGAAAAAATAAACTCTTATTAAAATGCAAATTTCTGTTTTTTTATTCAGGTGAGAGAAACGAATATGACAAATAATTCTTTTTTTTTCTCGAGAAAAAGAAAAATATTAAACTGTATTGACTGAAGCATAATCACGTCTAAATAATTCAATAATATATAATTCTAGAAGTGACATTAGATATGACTGAACTAGATGAAATACGTTCGATCACATCTCAACAACATTTTAATACTGGGACTTCTGAAGATCGACAGATTTCTCAATCTGAAGTAATAACAATATCTTCAAATGAATCTGATGATGAACCATTATTATATATTGGTCCAGTGAGAAATAATCGTAAGTTCTATTCACACTATTATTTTGAAATTCTTGCTAGTTCTATAATTATCGTCTCAATTATCATTATTATTGCTGGTGGGTATTATTTTACAAGAGATTCTATACCACCTACAATATCCACTAGATTCACAGTATTTTCAACGTTTCCAAGTTCTTTAACATCGACAAAATCGAACGTGTTTACAAGACCCACAAAGTGGAACATGTTTACAACATCGACAAAACCAAACATGTTTACAACATCCACAGAGTTTGCAGGATCGAATATCACATGCAATAAAGAATCTGGAAGAGGTATATTTTTCTTTTAATATTTCATTTGATTGTTTGTCAACATTCTCAAGGTAAATCATGTGCAACGTACGATTCGGATCCAACTTTATTGATTAGACTTGATAGTCTATTAACGAGTAAATATTGGTATTTTTCATATGGATATATAGCTCAAGCAAACACAAGTATTATTACATTTGTTTTTGCCCAACGTTCACGATGGAATCTAGATGATTTATCTATCTACGATAGTTTAAACAATATTGAATTAATTGAAGATGGTAGCTTTGAAGGTGGTTCATTGTACGCATATTGTGAATGTGGTGCAAAATTTCGAACGAATGAATTAACAGCCAAGAGTAATCACTCAGGTTCTTATTCATATGAACCTAGTAGTTTTTTCTCTTTGATCAAGTTATCACAAGCAGTAGATACTATAGTTGGACGGAATTATAACATCAGTTTCTGGTTGAAAAATCAAGGTTTTGGAAAAAATAGTGTCTCTGTATATATGAGTGTAGCAAAAGGACGAAATAGTGAAATTCAAGAGACTTCAAAAAATATTATGAACGTTTCAACTGAAGCATCTGTTATTTCTTCAATTTAGCATTAAATACTAATGAACATTTTTTCAACATTACTACTAAAAATATTCATTTTTTTTTTGTATGTTTTAAAAGAATTTAATCATAAACTGTAGTGGGCAAACAAATAATATACTTATTATTATCTTGAAGTAAAAACGAAATATTTTTTTCTGAATAAGAACTCAATTATATTATATAAGTGTGGTATAATGTATGCTAGGCGCATCAGTCTTTTTACATTTTGATTTAAGCACCATCATCCATATATATATAATTGGCGATGCTACTGATAACATTGTGCATATGCTAATAATTATTATACAAATACGTACAGCATTATCACAATATTTCATTTCATCTTTACTATTATACAAAGAACTACCAAAATTGATGAGCAGAGTATCCTGCAAGAAAACAAAACAAATAACATTATCTCATAGTCAAGATATATAATAAAAACTTAACGCCAGTAATAACATGTACGGTGAAAAATATCATAGACAACAATGAGAGTCCAATCAAAGTCAAGCCACATAAAAGACCGCTTTGATTGTGGCAGCACGTTGTTCGTATAATTGCCTATAGAGAATATTATAAATTCGATTTATTTAGATTTTTTAATACATACGATTATTATAATAATACTACAAATTATAAGATCAATTTCTCCAAATGCAATTAATGTTGTGGGTGCACTATAAGAAGCTGAACATGAATATCTTTTACTATAACCAATGATAATTGTTAATATACCAAATGCAATCATCATCAAAAGGAACGCTATCATAATAAATAATTGATGAAATGATTTGATATGTGCTCTAATAGCTGCAGGAGCAAATATTGTTCGTGGTCCTTCATAATCTTGATTATTGAATACAAAACCAGGTATTTGTTGTGATCCAAGGCAGGGATAAAAAATTGTTCTCATTTAATCTAGTTGAATTAATAATGAAATTATTTTTCTTTCTATGTTGTTTAAAAACATAAACATAGAAAAGAATGAAAAAAAATACAACGTATGTAAATAATTTCATCGGGCGATAAAAATCATGTCTCGGAATAAGAAAAAAAAATTTCGTATTATTATTGAATTGAAATTTATGTTAACATGGGTCAAAAATATTCGACAGAATTACAAAGTAATCTAGCCAATGAATTTTATCAATTCTGCTCTAATGGTAATGTTAATCGTGTTCGAGAATATTTGCCATTATTATCATATAATGAAATTAATTATATTAATCCTAATACAGGACAAACTTCATTACATGCTGCTTGTTTAAATAATCATTTAGAAATTGTTCGATTGTTACTTGAAAATAATGTTTGTAATCGTATTATTCGAAATCAACAGAATAGAATAGCTTATGATGTATCACCTTCAAATGAGATTCGCTCATTATTTCGTCGTTCTCAACAACCAAATGAAACTAATCGTTTTATTGATATTTGTCCTAATCGTTCATCATTTGGATTAATTACAAATACGAGATCTGAAACGAATCGTCCAGATGATTGGGTTACAGGTTATTTTTCATCTGCTGATGCACAAGATGCTCAATTAATGATGGCTTTATCGCATGCAAGTCCAATTATGAAATTATTATTATATGCACGTACAGAAAGTGAAAGTAAAATCATTGTTCAACGATTAATTGAAACATCTATTCCAATAACTCATAATCAATATCAACGTGCTCATATACTTTATAAAGAGTTTTTAAATAAAAATTCTGTTAAATCTTTATTAACACTTTATTCACTTCAAACACCATTATTCGGTACATTACAATCAAATGCTGATGCTTATACTGTTCTCTTATATTTACATCTAGATGAACTTTCTGATCTTGCATATCGTGGACGTTTAACTTATCGAGGAATGATTATGTCTTTTGATGATCTTCGTGCTTATCAATGGGCTCATGAACATGCAGCTGTTATAGAAACACGTACATTTCAATCAACATCTAAAGATCGAGCAGTTGCTTTTGCATTCTCTGATCTACCTCCAGGTTATAATAATCAATTATCAGTTATTATACGATACAAGTTTATTCAAATATGTCCAACAGCAATTGATATTCATAATGAATCACATTTTACACCTGAAGATGAAGTTCTTTTATTACCATTTACTCTTTTTCGAGTGACTTCAATTAAAGAACGTAGTTCTGACGAAGTTTTACGATATGAAATCACAATGCAAAATATTCCTGTGACACCGAATTCATTATGGGCATCATCAAGATAAAAAAAGCAAGATCATATAAAATATACTATATTGATTACTACATACATTTTTTTAAAAAGACATAAATAAAATATAGGAAGGACAGAGTGTTCCAGAAGTCTATTGAGGATGTGTGTGTATGAGTGTAGTTGTATCCTATTCATACTCGTTCTTATACTATCAAGCTGATTATCTCTTACATAACCTAAGAACAGATGATCTCGAGATATCAGACATAGTTTTGGTTGCGTGTGGATCCGCTGAGGGTGTGGAGTGAGTGTGGATCTGGGTCTGGGTATATCATGCATATAGTACCGACACCTACACACCCACCCACACCCTCAATTGCTGTAAGATCGATATTTTTGAGGGTGTGAGCGTGTTATCTTTTTTTCACACCTACACCCTATAATTTATACCAGTAATGGATTAAGAAAGATATCAAAAGACTTTATTCTATAAATTCTATCTGAATTACAAATTACATCAGAACTGCGTCAAGGAAATACACTAACATAAAGATCAAACGATAAAACGCATCTCAGTTATTTATAGCAGATATAATTTTATGTCTACAAGAGAACAATAAATTGGATTTTCTTTAATGAATCTTTCAAAGATTCATCAATCGAACTAAATTTTATTCAATGAAGTTAAAAAATGACAATAGTATCAAAGATTGAGTTCAATAATTCAAATGAATCAGCGTCTATGTTTGGTACCACAATTGTTCTTTGCACAACATGAACTTTTGCCTGGATTCTTGGCAACAATGCAAGCCATTACATCATTATTACATTTAACACAGTCACCCCCTAAAATATGCGGTATTCTTTATTAGATTTATCAAAATCAAATGGTTGACTATAGAAAAGACTAAATGGTAGAACTCATTAGAAGACTCACAGAGAAGTAACCAGCTCAAAGCTGTGCAACCATATTTTTTATAACATGAATCGTGAATATCACAACATTTGCCATTTTTGCCGCAGCTTTTAACTATTGCATCGCAACCTGCACTGTCTCGATGATGAATTAATAAATTCCTTTTCATACTAATACTTCGTAGAAAACGTTCTCCAGAATTACTGTCTTCACTACCATTGTCTGCATCCATTGCTTGTACGATTGAATCAAAGATCAAAGTAATCGATAGTATTGCTATCAAATGTAATAGTTTCATGATCGAAAGTGAAAAACCGAGTTAAAATATGTATGTATATAGCCAAATAATCTACTGTAGTCACAATCGATATTGCACGACTGGGTATATATCAAGGGGGAACAGCTGATTCGGAAACCCTAATCACCCGTAATCACTCCTAACCATTATTAATCTTTATTAATCATTGCTAATCACTCCTAATCAAAGAAGTACCTGTTTCTCTCTTGGCATATATACATGTAGATCTATTTATTGAGTGTAACAGATACTATAAGTACTATTTATTTTATAGTAATTCTATGACTTGAATCGATAGCTTATGATCATTATTCTTATTTGCATATTTTACAAGGTTGGGCAATAATAAATTTTTATATTCTCTAAAATGGTTGTAATATATTTTGAAAATAACACAAAATATCTATGGTGTCATTAGGGGTGGGTGTGGTTGTGGGTGATATATCAATCTCTCACTCACATTCACACCGACACCCACACTCTCAAGAACTACAGTCTTTTTAAAATCGCACAATTTAGAGTATTTTCCATGCATTAATCACAATTTCTACCTTTGTTTTCACTAAAATTAACTTTTCTTGAGAATTATAAGGTAAGTATATATATATGAA